CTTGGTGACTTTAACGCTTTCGTTGACACAGATTATGCTGTCTATAGAGGCGTGCTGGGTCCTCATGGTCTCGACGGCTCTAATAAAAATGGCCTGATCCTCCTACGAACCGGCGCAGAACACCGGCTCACCCTGGCCTACACATTCTTCCGCCTTCCGATGCGAGAGAAGGCCACGTAGATGCACCATCACTCGCGACACTAGCACCTACTGGACTATGCCCTCGTTCGAACGTGAGACCAACAGGGCGCGCTGGTGACAAAAGCAATTCCGGGTGACGAGGGGTAGACCGACCATCGTCTCGTCATCTCGAAGATGCGGGTTCGCCCACAGCCTCACAGGAAACCTCCAGTTAAGTGATCCCCGGGCAAGCTGAATATTGCTTCATTGCCTCTGCCTGCTCACCAACGCTATCTCAGCAGCGAGTTAGCTCAACGGCTAGCCAGCCCTCCAGTCGCCTCTGCCGCCGCTACCATCGAGGAGAACGCCTCCGTGGGGAACCGATAGTGTCAACTGCGAGACAGTCCTGGCGACGGCCCTGGCTGTCCGCGGTCACCCACGACGCCAAAACCAGGACTGGTTTGATGACGACGCCGCCATCAGCAAACTGCCCGCTGAGAAGAAACGCCTGCACAAAGTCTACGTCAGCCGCCCCACGGACGACTACAAAAAAGCCGCCTTGCGCAGCAGCGGCTGTGTGAGATGTGAAACGCCTGGACGGCTCGCAAGGCCGAGGATATCCAAACTTACGCGGAACGCGACGAATAGAAGAACTTCTTTTCCGCGATCAAAGCTGTCTACGGTCCGCCAACCAAAGGAACTGCTCCTCTTCTCAGCGTCGACGGCAGTACCCAACTCACCGAGAAGACGAAAAATCTTCAGCTTTGGGCCGAGCTCTTCCGAGACGTCCTCAACCGCCCCTCCACCATCTCTGACGCCGCCATCGGCCGTCTGCCTCAATTGGAGACCAACACCGACCTCAAGCTCCCACCCTCTCTCCATGAAACCATCAGGGCCGTACAGCAGCTCTCCAGAGCGAAAGCACACGGATCGGACGTGCTTCCTGCTGAGATCTACAAACACGGTTGCGTCCGACTCATAGATCATATGGCGGTGCTAATCCAAGTGATTTGGCTTCAAGGAGGAGTCCCACAGGATTTCAAAGACACCCACCTCTATAAGCGGCAAGGTAGCCGCCAACTCTGCGGCAACCATCTAGGCATCTCCTTGCCGAATGTCGTCGGGAAGGTCCTCGCTCGCATTCCCCTCAACCGTCTGAACCACTATCAGGAACAAGACCTCTTGCCGGAAGGCCAGTGAGACTTTCGCCGTCGTCGTAGGACCACCGTCATGATCTTTGCGCCCGACAACTGCAGAGGAAGTTCTAGGAGATGCGGACCCACCCCCACTCTAACTTCGTGGATCTGACGAAAGCGTTTGACATGGGGAATAGTGAAGAGCTGTGGAAACTCATGCAGAAATTCGACTGCCCCGAAAGATTCACCCAGATGGTGCGTCAGCTCCACGATGGCATGATGGCGCGAGTCACTGACAAAGGAGCTGCCTCAGAGGCATTCACAGTGACCAACGGAGTGAAGCGGGGCTGCGTCCTCACGCCTACGCTCTTCAGTCTCATGTTCTCTGCCATGATGATGGACGCCTACCACGACGAACGTCCCAGGATTCGCGTGGCCATCATAAAGGACGACCACCTACTCAAACAGCGGCGGATGCACTTCCAGTCGCGTGTATCCACAACCACCGTCCACGAACTTCAGTTCACCGATGACTGAAGGACACATGCAAAGGAGTATGGGCCCCTTCTCCGCCGCCTGCGAGAACTTCGGTCTAATCATCAACACGGAAAAGACAATGGTCATGCACCAACCGCCACCGGATGCTGCCTACGTAGTACCCCAAATCAACGTGAACGGCACCTCACTGCAAATGGTGGACAACTTCAAGTATCTGGGCAGCACCCTCGCCCGAACTACCAAGATCGACGATGAAGTTGATCGCCGGATCTCCAAAGCCAGCCAAGCCTTCGGCCGTCTGCAAAACACAGTCTGAAATCGCCACCAAATTAAAAATGTACAAGGTGGTCATCCTGCCGACGCTGCTGTATGGGTCGGAGACTTGGGCGGTGAATGGGAAGCAGACGCGGAGACTCAATCACATCCACCTTAGTCGCCTTCGACGGATTCTGAAGCCCAGATGGCAGGACCGAATCCCGAACATGGATGTACTGGGGCGAACGGGAATCCTCAGAATCTACGTCATGCTGGGACAGCAGCAACTGTGTTGGAGCAGCCACCCAAACGACTCTTCAACGGAGATGTCACCATGAGTTCCCGCCGACAACGAGGCCAATCCCGTCGCTACAAGGAAACTCAGAAGAATTCCCTAAGCGTCTGCAGATCAACCCGGCCAACTAGGAAGACCTCGCCCAAGACCGACCGACCTCAAGGGGGACAGTGAAGACAGGGGCAGCGATCTACGAAGCCAGCAGCATCACTGCCGTCAAAGTCAAACGCGATGCTGGCAAATTCCAATTGCAGTGTCCAACGACATCATTGGCACGCACTGGCCTGGCGAACACGTTTACCACAACTGTTCGCTGGGTCGATATACCTTCCTCAGCCCCAGTAAGGTTTTTCAATGATTTCATCTTGTCCTACTTGCGATTTGGGAATCTTTGCATTGTCGACTCATAGTTCATCGACAGTATGGCGGCAAGTACAAGCCCCCCCCCCCCCAGTAATTCCAGCATACCGTCAGCCACACCCACAAATCTAAAGAAAACCGACAACTGTCTGATATTCACAGGGGATTCTAGCTCAGATACAAGAAAAATGTCAGAAAATAAAGACACGCCTCTAAGCTACGATGGTAGAGGGGCGCCCACCGATCATCTTTTTACGGAACTCACTCGTCCCGTTGTGCCTTAGGGCTCTCTCTCTCGAGCCCAACCAGCGGCCACACAGTGGCGCATGATATAGGCAGAATAACCTCGTCTTTGTCGGCAATGCTTCTCTCCCTCTACACTACCATTGTAGACCTGCCGAAGGCCTTTGACACTTTAAAACATGGCGGATTCTGGGATATCGTGCAAAATGCATATGATCGGAGCGCCCTACACGTATGGCACGCCAAAAGACTGACGGAATGATGGCTCACGTCGCGGACAGCAGGGTAGTCTCAGAAGGATTTGCGGTGATCACTGCGGAAGCGCAGGGTTGCGTACTCGATCCCACCCTCTTTAGCATCATGTTCTCTGTCATGCTGATGGACCCGTACTGCAAGGAGCGCTCTCGGATCAACACCTCTTTGAGGACCGACAGACAATTTCTCAAGATCCGACGAATGCAGCTATCACAGTTCGTGACCTCCTCTTTGCGGACGAATATGCACTTAACGCCACAATGGAAGCTATGCAAAGAAGCACCGACCTCTTCGCCTCCAGCTGCGCCATCTTTGGATTGACCAGCAACACAGAGAAGGTTGTGGTCACGCACTAGCCAATTAACACCCGCACCCAGAACCAACATATATGGGACTCGATTAGCATCTGTAGACCGATTAGCCTATTTTGGCAATGTCATCTCAAACAACACTAAGATCGACGACAAGGCGGACCGCTGAATATCCAAAAGCAGCCAGGTCTTTGGCCGGTTACAGGCTTCAGTCTGGCATCGCAGTGGACTTCATCTCAATAGCCAACTCAAAAGATATGGATCGGTCGTCCTGACGACGCTAATGTACGGACGGAGTCACGGACCATTTACGCCAACCAAGTAGGGAAGATGAGGCACTTCTACCTCCGAATAATGCTAAGACTTAGGTGGCAGTATAGGATATCCGACAAGGTAATCCTGGGACGGACTCGGACCCTCAGCATCTGCGCCACGCCGAGGCAACAACAATTGCGCTAGAGCGGCCACCTCTCAAGGATGGGCGACGAGCGCCTAACCTAGCGACTCTTCTAGGGTGACGTCGCTGCAGATGCTGGTTGACAGGGAAGGCAAAAGCGATGCTACAAAACACCCTGGGGACCGTCCTCAAGGATCTACAAACGGATCTGGAGTTATGGGAGGACCTGGCCCAGGATCGATCGGCCTAAATAGCAGAAAGACGGAAGCAGCAAGCCACGAAGCCAACTGGATATCCACTGTCAAGGTCAAGTAGCAGCTCATAGGCATCAGGAGCCACAGACGTCCAGCCTCAATGTCAACGGGCGTTTCGTGCTCGGACCGGCGTTGTCGGACATTTTCGGACCCAATGCACTGGCAAGACAACTGCACTTGCGGTTTCGGAAAACGCTTTCTCCGTAAGGCAGCTACCTTAAGGTTCACAACGGCGACCGCCACCACTACCGATGCGCAATATCCCGATGCCCCACCACCCATTACAATCGCCAACCCCATCCCTTCGACAAACAATGCGGACCCCGTCCGAAAACTACCCACAACCAACTCTCCCCGGCATTAGCGTTACCAACACTCCTAACATTCTCATCACTGACTCAGAAACTGCCGAACTACCCTGTCCATATTGCCACCGCATATTTATGTACATCCCGCATGGGTCTAGTCGGTC